GAAAACAGACACTTTTAATTAAAATCATTTGTATTTTTAATTCATAGGTCTAAAAAAACTATTAGAGCATGAATTATGTATATAATATAATAAATGTTAACTGTTATATACAAAACCCTTGTCGAGTCTTTGATTAGGCACGGAATTTTGGTATGGGGAGGATTATATGATAATGCTCTTCAAAAATTAAATGTTGCGCAGAAATATATATTGAAAATTATGTATGGCAAAAATGGGTTGTATCCTACAGAGTTACTTTTTTCGGATGAAATATGTAATATAAGAACATTGTATATGGTATCGGTAGCTGCATTTATCCATCAAAATAAATATCTTCAAAATATAATAAGCCATCAATACGAAACTCGGGGGAAGATAAATGCAGACATTGTAATTCCGTTAAATTTTAATAACATTAATCTAAGAAGTGCAGCATACCTCGGTCCTAAAATCTACAATATGTTATCAAGGAGTTTGAAGGTGACTAATAATATTTATAGGTTTAAGATTAACTGCAAGAAATTTTTATATAAAGAATATAAGAAATTTGAATATCTTTTTAAGTAATTATTCTAATATTAAGGAAATACTTATTACTTATTAAAAAAAGTATTATTACTTATTAAAAAAAAAAAGAAATGGAATCTGGTACATACAAATAACTCTGTTATTTAGGTACCAATAAGTACTTTTGCTTTGATAGGTTAATTAAATTTAGTTTCCCTTTGTAAATTGTAATGATGCTAATTGATAAATTTTGTAGGGTAAATGACATTCAAATGGAAAGATAAAATAAATTGTATGGAGCACGGTTTTACGTGGGATGTAATTTTGCAAATAACTTGTTGATTATTTTACTTGAATAAAAATTACTTGAATAATTATAGAGAAATATGTTCAAAGTTTGACGTATAATAGGTTCAAATACTAAGAAATGTCCAGAACCCAAGATATTCCCGTCTGAAAATCACTCTTTTGAATTCCCCATAAGAAATACATTGCTGTCAAAGGACCCCGCAATATTTAAATGGAAATTGGTTACCCGTGATATTTGAATGAAATTTGAATATGTTATTGGGGATGCCGTAATCAACATTTTTTACCATGGGCACAACCCTGTATATATGACAGGTGAGGCGTGATTAGCTGTCAAATATTGGAATCTGATATCCAAAAGCAGAGTAACTATGGCAGATTTTGATGAACAAAAAATTTATTTCTACTAAGTCGACCATGTTAAGTCGAAAAATGTCAACTGTTTTAACACCAAAACCCTGCCAAACGGCAGCACTCATCTTTTCCAGTTTTCAATATTTTATGTTGTTTGACATTTTCAACTTATATGTAAATTCTGAATTTAAAAATTGAAAAAAAAATGACAGCTGTCAAAATGTGACGTGCATGGACTTTGATCAATGTTTTATCACCAATAAACTACCTTGAAGCGAGAAAGGACCAGATTAAAGCATTTTTTTCTACTAAAACAAATGACAGGTTTTGACAGTTCTGTCATTTTTTTTTTTCAATTTTTGAATTTAGAATTTACATATAAGTTAAAAATGTCAAATGACAACATAAAATATTGAAAACTGGAAAAGATAAGTGCTGCCGTTTGGCAGGGTTTTGACAGGTGTTGAAATGGTTGACATTTTTCGACTTAACTTGGTCGACTTAGTAGAAATAGATTTTTTGTTCATCAAAATCTGCCATAGTTACTCTGCTTTTGGATATAAGATTCCAATATTTGACAGCTAACCACGCCTCACCTGTCATATATACAGGGTTGTGCCCATGCTAAAAAATGTTGCTTACAGCATCCCCAATAACATATTTAAATTTCATCCAAATATCACGGGTAACCAATTTCCATTTAAATATTGCGGGGTCCTTTGTTGGAAAGTGTTTAGGAACCCATTTTAAATTTCGTGCCTGATTTTTCCTAACCTAACTAATATGGTGAATTCAATTCTTTATTGTCTAACAGGAATACTCCCAATAAAAGGACATTTAACATGAAAACCAAAAACTAACACTATAACTAACACTTTGACTAACACTTTGAAAGAACACAGAAAATTAAAAATTAGATATCTGAGGTTCAACAAAATATAAATCACATCATCAATAGGGTACTTGCATGGAAAATTAAATTGATTATTGTTTATTGCAAACTGTAGGAAATCGAAAAAAAATCGTTACTTTTTTTTTATTTTGCCCAAATATGATTATTCCGGAAGTTATTCAAATATTAAGTTTTGTATATATACAGGGTGAGTTACTAAGCGCGCGGTGGTCCATATCTCCTATACTAACGGAGATCGGAGAAAAAACTAAATACAAAAGTTGTATATAAACATAAGTAGGTACTACATTCCTAAATTATTTTCTAGTATACAGGGTGGCCCAATAACTAGTAGTGACAAAAAGTTATGTTTTTTTAAATGACTCTCCCTGTATAATATGACATTTCTGGATTCTACAGAAAATTCTAGACATATTTCATGTATAATGTCATACAGAGTGTCCTACGGTGGATGGCGTATTAGACGTTTATGGAGAACTAAAAAGCGGATCATATTGAAAATTTGGCAACCGGGATAAACGACCATAATCTACACTTTAAAAATATTTTTGTTTATGCGGTGTTGCCGCTTCTACTCTTAATCAGTGGCAACATCGCTATTTTAAATGGAACACCCTGTATGTGATTGCATATTTGGATTCTACGTAAAATTCTGAACAGATTTCATGTGATATACCCTATACCTAAGTTCAACTATTTCGGAAATATTGACAGTTGAAAATTGAGTTTTTGCAACTTTGACAGGTTGTAAAACCTAAACGGTTAATTTTAGAGGAACACCGATTTAACATTCCTATCTTAGATTTTCATAAACTATCATTTGACACCAACTCTGAATTTAACCGGAGATTAAATTTAATTGGAATTTTTAATCATGGATTAAATTCAAAGTTGGTGTCAAATTATAGTTTATAAAAATCTAAGATAGGAATGTAAAATCGGTTTTCCTCTAAAATTAACCGTTCAGGTTTTACAGCCTGTCAAAGTTGCAAAAAGTCAATTTTGAACTGTCATTATTTCCAAAATAGTTGAACTTAGGTATAGGGTATATAACATGATATCTGCTCAGAATTTTACGTAGAATCGAAATATGCAATCACATACAGGGTGTTCCATTTAAAATAGCGATGTTGCCACTAGTTTAGAGTAGAAGCGGCAACACCGCATAAACAAAAATATTTTTAAAGTGTAGATTATGGTCGTTTATCCCGGTTGCCAAATTTTAAAAATGATCCGCTTTTTAGTTCTCCATAAACGTCTAATACGCCATCCACCGTGGGACACCCTGTATACCTATCTTCAACTATTTTGGAAATATTGACAGTTGAAAATTGACTTTTTTGCATCTTTGACAGACTGTGAAACCTGAACTGTTAATTTTAGAGGAAAACGGATTTTACATTCCTATCTTAGATTTTCATAAGCTATCATTTAACACCAACTTTGAATTTAACAGAAGATTAATAATTAGGCGGAATTTTTAATCATGGATTAAATTCAAGATTGGTGCCAAATAATAGTTTATGAAAAAGTAAGATAGGAATGTGAAATCCGTTTTCTTGTAAAATTAACCGTTCAAGTTCTACAGTCTGTCAAAGATGCAAAAAAGTCAGTTTTCAACTGTCAATATTTCCGAAACAATATGACATTATACATAAAATATGTCTAGAATTTTCCACAGAATTCAGAAATGTTATAATATACAGGGAAAGTCATTTAAAAAAACATAACTTTGTGTCACTACTAGTTATTGGGCCACCCTGTATACTGGAAAATAATTTAGAAATGTAGTACTCATATTTATCTACAAGTTTTGTATTTAGTTTTTTCTCTGATCTCCCTTAGTATAGGAGATATAAACCACCGCGCGCTTAGTAACTCACTCTGTAGATATACTGAGCATGTGCAACGTCACTTATTTATTAGATAAGTGACGTCATAGGCAGATTTCATAGTGTTGTATCTCCGTCAATTTTTGACTAGGAAGAAAAAAAAAAAAACACGTATTGATTTATTTTTCATGGACTATCGAAATCAGCAATAAAAAATTTTGATACAAGGAGCCTATTACGCAGAGCTCATTCCATACCTTCTTTCTACTTCATTGGTCATCAGGCTTTTCGAGAAAAGGCACCCATAAACCAGAAAATTGTCAGAAAGGTGAAGTACTGGGAAGATAGATGATTTTTTTTTGAACCCAAACTCTTCAACTTGCTCTTCACGGATGTTCACTGAACTCAAGCAAGATGAAAGATTATGGCCTCAAATATAAGGTCAAATACCTTTAAAATGACATAGGTATACACATTGGATGATAATTAGAAACAATTGATGGATCCCTAGACTTAAGAATCAGCATATAGGCTGTTGTATTTACAATAATATCAAGGATCAAGATGATAACCCATATCTACAGTTTCAACAAAATTAACTTGGGGAATTTCTCATTGATGAGCTCAGTTATGCCTCTACTGATATTGTGCTGTTTTAGGTAAATTTTGAGCTTTTGTTGTTAAATGCAAATTAGCATGAATAGGCTCATGTGAGGGCTCATGCCTCAGGTATGAATAAAACAAGTTGTATATTCTGATTCATCATTTGCCAAATTATTGAATAAAAGCAACTGAAGGTTAAATACTCTCAAAGGGATTAGTCATAATTTATCATTATTAAAGTTAACATGGGAAAATGGAGCAACAAAACATAACAATAGAACCTAAGAAAAGGAAGATATTTGAACGTCATTTATTTACGATAATATAGAAAATTTCTGGAAGAACTAAAGGAAAACCGAACTGTTACCTCCTCCTGCTAAAAATAGGGTATTTTATCACGGGTATTATCTGGCATATAGAAAGTTGCCACACAAACAAAAATAGATATACTAAAATCAAGCGAATTAATAATTGAAAATTACCTATTATTTCCTAAATCGTTGTATTCAGTAATCAGTACCCAATGATCAGAATTCTCTATTCGGACGGGGGTCAGTTGGTCCTTGTTGTATTGGGCGAATGCCCCGCTGGCCCCCTCTTTGAGCAGGTCGTCGTTGTCCAGCAATTTTCTAACATCATTAAATACCTCGTTAAACTCGCCGGGCGGCGAATGTATTATAAAATCGGAAACTATTCGCACTTTTTCTTGATCAGAAATTATTTCGTCCCCCTCAGACGCCATTGTTTAGGTTGGGTTACTGAACTGTCAAAAAAGTTTGATGACACATCTTTGGCAAATGACTCATACGTCAATTCGAGATGTTGTTTTAACTTCTTCTTCTTCTTTTTTTTTTTATTTTTGATGGCTCGTGATATGTAGCAACAAAGTTAAGGTCGGATTAGTTACACCGAACGTGTCGCACGAGAGCTCCTCGAAGTCACTCCAAAACATACAATTCGGATTATTATTATTCTTTGATATTACCATTACCTAAAAGGGCTTCTTGCACTCCCCGCAAATTTGGTGCATCAGGGGAAAGGGGGATGCACTATGAGCGACTCGAGTGCTCAATGCTCATTTAAAAGGAACCTGGAACGTTCAAGCTTTTGACATTGAGCAGCTTCGAGTAACTCAACGGGTAAAAGGAATACAATTGGTGCGTACGATAAGTTCAACTACTGACACTTTTTACCCTGACCCGACATTAATAGGTCTGTTTTCATTGGTTTCTGCAGAAATCACAAACCAGTCTGAGCGAATTTCATTGGTTGAAAACAGTCAACTAATTCCAACCAATGAAATTCACTCTGACTGGTTTGTGATTTCTGCAGAAACAGACCAAATGTCGCACTTTTTGCACCATTCGTACCGTTCAGCGTTCCATTTTCCCGGTGTAGTTTAGATGGTTGCGTTCCAAAACATAACTGCACCGCACTAACGCTAATCGGTTCAGACAAATCGTACGCACCAAAATAGCAAATCACCAGTCACCCCCGGGTTAGGCACTCCATGGTAAGGGTCGGTTTCTCAATAGTTGTATTCCTTTCAAGAGTTTGAAACACTCGAGCTACTCGCTCCGGTGTTTAGTCGCCCCCGATTTGCAGGGAACAGATGCGTGGTGCAACAAACACTTTCGAAAGGAATAAGCGCGTGAAGCCCCGGAGCTGTTCCGGAGCTTCTACTAGGGGCCGGTTTCTCAATAGCGAGTCACCTCCGGGTTGGTTTTAACTCCAGGGTAAGCGTGTCCAGTTGCTATGTTTACCTCGGAGTAATGCTTAACCCGGGGGTGACTCGCTATTGAGAAACCGGCCCTAGGTGTGAAAGGAATACAACTAATAGCAAATCACAACCCGGGTTAAGCATAACTCCAGGGTAAACATAACAACTGGACACGCTTACCCTGGAGTTAAAACCAACCCGGAGGTGACTCGCTATTGAGAAACCGAAAAATAGCCTTTAGAAACTCGCCTTTGCCTTATTTTAAATTTGTGATAAAATCTGTTTTTTTTTTTTAAAGATAATTCCCCAAGTCAAAAATTTAGTAAATGTTGGCAACACAAACCTTTTCTACATAAAAAATTTGAAAGCATTGACAATTTTACATTGTATTGCCAACATCATTTGGACTTTTATCTTTAAAAAAAAACAGGCTTTAGGTGATCGCTGAGCCGTTGTTGCCATTTTATTGATTGATGAACTGTACGATTGTTTTGAACCGTTCCAAAACCGTCCTTTTTTCAAACCCGAACAGGCCCAAACAGTGCGATTGTTTTGAACCGTTCTAGAACCATCCTTTTCTCAAACCCGAACAAAGCTATTCTTCTTTTTTATTCCTGGTGGTGACTGCACATTGGGAAACAGAGTTTGGATTAGATTGCATTAGGATTCGAGGATTGGCAAGGCGAATTTTTATTTTTCTGATCCTCTACAGGAGTTTAACTGTTTGGAGCTTAGTGTATCCGTTGCCTGTCTAGTTCTGATATGGGATTCGTTAACTAATTAGGTAAGTTCTTTTGAATTTCATGTGATAAAATAGGTTATGGTTATATTCAAAGAAATTTTGTATGTAAACAATGTAAACAAAAACAGATCGGCACAAGATCAGAGGTGGGATCTTGGGATGGCATTAGGCCAATCTCGAAAAAATTCAAATTTCAAATCCTCCTACTCAAAACCGAATGTTGGCCTACTAGGTATCTATTTTTTACAATAAATGCCTAAATTCTAGGGATGGCAAAATAAAAAAATATATCGATATATCGAATCATATGATATATCGTAACAACATATCGATACATTCGATATATCGAACGAAAAACATCGATATTTTGAATATATCGATATACTTATATTTTATTTTTATTTTTTTTCTACGATGTGAAAAGTGCTTTTTTTCTTCAGGTATTTTAGGTCATGAAACTATCACTTTTCCGCACTAGTTTCGAAAATGGAAAAGTAGAATAATTATGGAATGTTAGGTCACCCTGATACTTTCATGTCCTAAAATGCGTGCAGAAAACTACTATTCCGTACGATTCTAGAAAAATAACGTTCCCAATCATGCGGAAAGTCTCTTTTCCTCATTCAGTTGGTACATACAGGGTCATTTTTTATATTTTCCCACCAACTTAACTTTTTTTGTGTATAAAAAAAAATTTAATAGGAAAGTTCTAGTGCTTGAAAAATAGTTCTCAGACAAAATAGTTTATACAGGGTGTTGCAAAAAGTTTAAAAAACAAAAAAAAATATTTTTTTTAAATGGGACACCCTGTATATTATGACATTTCTGGATTCTGCGGAAAATTCTAGACATATTTCATGTATAATGTCATATACCTAACTTCAACTGTTTCGGAAATGATGACAGTAGAAAATTGACTTTTTTGCATCTTTGACAGACTGTAAAACCTAAACGGTTGATTTTACAGCAAAACCGATCATACATGCTTTTCCTATTTTTTTATAAAATATCATTTGACACCAACTTTAAATTTAATCCATGATTGAAAATTCCAATTAAATTTAATCTCCGGTTAAATTCAAAGTTGGTGTCAAATGCTGGCTTATGAAAAGCTGTCGACAAGAATGTAAAATCGGTTTTGCTGTAAAATTAACAGGTAAGGTTTTACAGCCTATCAAAGTAGCAAAAGAGTCAATTTTCTACTGTCATTATTTCCGAAACAGTTCAAGATAGGTATATGACATTCTACATGAAATAGTCTAGAATTTTCCGCAGAATCCAGAAATGTCATAATAAACAGGGTGTCCCATTTGAAAAAATATATTTTTTTGTTTTTTAAACTTTTTGCAACACCCTGTATGAACAAAACCATGTTTTCTGAGAACTATTTTTCAAGCAATTCAACTTTCCTATTTAATTTTTTTTCATACACAGTGGCATGATATATCGACAAGATTATATCGATATTTTTTTCGATATATCGAATGTAAGATATCGATTAAAATATATCGATATGTTTCAGTAATATATCGATATTTACAAAATATCGATATATTTTTGCCATCCCTACTAAATTCAGAAAGTTCAGAACTTAGTCGAAACTCGAAACATTTTTGTCTGATCTCTTCTTCTGTCTCTAGTGTCTCTTACCGCAGTCTTCCCAAAGACATTAGACAAATAATTTTGGCACCTTCCCAATAAGAGGTATGGTAGAGTCGATAGGGTCGATAGACTAACGACCGTAATGGTGGTACCTATTTAAGTACCTATTCAATTCAATTCAGTTGTAACGATACGCACGTAAATTTTAGACAAAACCGTAAGCGAGCTATCACGTTTTATTTATTGCAAAAATAACGGTTTGTAAATCCGTCAAAAAATTGGGTTTCAAATTAGGCCAAGAATTTACCTTGTTCGTAGAATTGCTAAACATGCGTCTGTCTTCCTTTCCTCCCAATACAATATACATCGCCCGTATTTTTGGCGCTCAGGTGCCCGAGAGTGGGAATGCAGTACCCATACTACAGATAGGTACCGCAAAAGGGTGCCTGAATAAACCAGGCCTAGTGTAGGCTGGGCAAATTTTATATACAACCCAAAAAATATATACATTAAATTTATACAATGTGTCCCGACATCCTTAAGCCCGGTCTACACGCAGCAATCTTTTGTACGATTTGCATGCGCAAGTAAAGGCCGGGACACACTTGTCATACACCCCGCCGATCCGATGTAGCTCCAAGAATTGAATCCGCAGCCTATTCTGTAACTTGTGACCGCAGAGAATTGCGCAATTGTCGCTGTCAAGTCGCTGTCAAATGCGAGTTTTCTATTCAAAAAAAGCAACTTGCGACCGGTTGCTGGTTGCTATATAATTGCTGTTCATAGAGAATAGGCCTGCGGGGAAAGGGGTGAGCACACATGCCATACTCGTTTCCGGCTTCTTTCCGGCTTCTTTCCGATTTCCGGCCCCGGCTCGTGACACACGCCACTCGCTCCTCGCCATTCTTGATTCAAACACTATCGCAGAAGGTCCCGCGTGCAAAATGTTCAAACATTTTAACAACTGCAATTTAGTCCTGATGGCACTTTGTTTAGAAGAAATTGAAGAAAATCAATATGCTATGTATTTTATGGAGAACAGCCGAAAACGCAGATTTTGGGTCCATGCTGCTTGGGAAAGAAGATCTGTAAGACTTGAGTAAACACCAAGCGAAACGTCGTCCTGCAGCTGGAAAACGAATAGATTGCACGATCGGACCATGATCGAATGCAGAATCGGAGCCGAGTGGGAGTGGGAATGTGTACGTGCCGCAAAGGTGTGAGCTACGTTGTTCGAAGTGTAGTACCGTACCATTCCCCTCTCAGATACTCGTCCGATTGTCCGTTACAGACGACTCGTTGCGTGCAGATGGAAGATTTGAGCAAATAGAACTGTGCAAAGTCGGAGGTCAGAGTTGAAAGTCTGAGCCGATTAGCATAGATTTGCGCGTGCAAGTCGTATCGTGTGAAAAAATAATTGTTAAAAGTCAAGAAGTAAATTAGTTCCGGAGCTGGAGATAATGATATTTATGAGCGGCTTTGAGAAAATAAACTTCGGTTTAATAACCATGTTCTAGACACCTATAGAATGTCTGGTTCTCTTCAAACGTTGTCTAATTTCTCTTTTTCTTTCAAAATTTAAACAAAATATCAAAATATTCCCAAATAACACCTCCTTCGTGATTAAACTCACTTACTAGCGGAGGATCGGAGCTTTACTGCAATAAATCGTTATGTAGACGCACTGGGTTCGTAACGTTTTATCTGTACGATCACTATACACCGTGCCTTATGACTGAGCTATCATCGGCGGAAGATTTATTATTTGAGAATACTGTTGCTTGAGTTTTGGAAGCATTATAAATTTGACTAGGTTGTTAAGGTCCCAGTTGGTAATGATATCAAGATCGGGTGAAACTGTTCTCGGGCGAGGCGTGTGGAAGTGGCTGCAGTAAGGGATTTGTCAGAAGAGAAAGATGCCATCAAACTACTATCGTCCACAAAGCTATATATGGGGTTTCTTGTCACATTTAACAAATTATTTATAAAAATAAGAAATAGTGTTGGGGACAGAATTTTATTTTGGGAAGCGCCAGCATTTATAGGCAGTGTATCAAAAGATACACCATCGGCCCCCCCAACGTGCGTGATTTGCCTTCCAAAAAGCTCACCAGCCAATCGCCAAATTCGTTTGGGTTAGACCATACGATGGATGTTTGCTTGAAAAGACCATTGTGCCACACTTGATCAGGAGCCTTTGGAGTTGTCCAATGGTACAATTTTGGATTGGCCAATTTTTTTGAGAGTCAAGTTCATATAAACCACCTGGGATACCCCTTTCTACAAAGAGAAACATGTCAGGATCTACCAGCAGTTCCAATTATTGTTTAGTATATTTTAGCATTGCGTCCCAAGTAAAACCAGGCAGAGTGTAGTAGTGTGCAGGATTCAAATCATATGTTTCGAGACAACTCGAGCGAAATTGTTCGAATACATCGGCGAGCAATAAAATATCAGTCTTCATATATAGATCGATATAATTACCCAAGTCTTGGCAATCGAAGTCGGTCCACACCTGTTTAGCCCTGAGATATAATCCTCGAAGACATGGTGCATCATTCAGAGTGTTGTAGAATGCTTCTATTGGCGGCAAACAGGCTTCATTAAAACGATCAAAGGAGTCAATATAATCATAAGGCATCAACCCTTTTTTTGTAAGAAGTTGCAACTTATAAAGTCGGGTATGCAATGTATTTTGTTTTGACTTGAACATTGTAAAAGAATAATCAAATGAAGATTTTTTTTATATCTGCATCTAGCCCGCTGAACTGTGCCTCTACTGCCTCTAGGTTGTGATGTTCGGATAAATATGATGTGTAGTGACGCGGAAATGAACCACCAAGAAAACAATTAAAAGTTCTGATTATTCTAAACAACTAAAGATCCAACTACCGACAATTAATCAAGAATAACAAGGACTTACCAAACAACCATACCAGGAGAGATCATCACTTAGACAGCATAACCAGAAACTTCAATTAAAAATTATCTGAACATCGATATCCAGAAATTATTGAAAGCCTGACTAATACATTGGAATGTGACTAAAGCAAAAGTTCATGGACATTTTTTTAAGTGCTTTCAACAATTAACATTCCAAAGGAGCCAAAAAATTTCTAAAAGAATCAATAAATCATGCACAAGCCTATATGATGATACCCACTTAACAAACCACTTAGCGACGCCCTTGATAATTAATTAAAAGGGGACCAAATACACTAATTGATGGGATGATTCAACCACGAAAAATCGAGGTCAGAAACAATAAAGAAATTCAAGACAATGGAGGGACCAATGATATAAAAACTATAAAAAGGCAACTTTGGCAGGAGAAAATCAGTGTTCGTGAAAGACCAGTGTCGGTTGAGTAATCAAGAAACAAGTAGTAATCGAGAATCGAGAGACCTGTGTCCAGAAAGTCAGAACTACGGCGTGAAAGAGTTGTCGAGTCGAACTAACCGAGAAAAGAAGCACGACGTGTAATAACAGCGCGAAAATATTCGAGGTTTTTATTAAGTGTTCATAATTAAAATAAATTCCTTCGACCAATAAGATTTCCATGTAATTAGGTGTGGCCAGCAGTAAATATATTATTGTTAAATGTAAGTAGAGTTTTTTTTTTGTTCAGCCAGAAATTGTAAAGGCAAGAGTGTGAATCGAGTCAAACTGTAAATAAAAATTGATTGATTGAGTAATTGATGCTTATTAGAAATCTAACAAATTTATTGTAAGATTATTTATTACCGACGCCTGTTAATTAATAACAAGCATTATTTATTTTAATAAAATAAACTTTATTTTAAATGACCACAATATTTCTGTGTTTTACTCTCTACCCGCAAATTGGATCCACTTTAAAGTGTGTCTCCACTCAGAAACTAAAGTCACCGCTCGCCAATTTAACAAAGAATACTCTAGACCTACAAAGGTATAAGACGGAGATTGGTGAGGCCCTACACTCCTCAACAGAATGTTTGTGCTGAAAAGGGAAACCGAACGGTTGTTGAGGCTGCAAAAGCTCTAATGCATGCTAGAAAAGGAATATTTGACGAGAGTTTTTGTGCTATAACACAGCAGCTTATATTCTAAATCGTATAGAAAAATCAAGCATAGAAGGAAAAACATCTTTTGAAGTGTGGTTTAATTAATAACCAAAAATAATTCACCTAAGAGCAATAGGTACCTAGTTCTTGCTATGCTCATGTTCTCAAACAGAGAAGACAGAAAATGGACAACAAAGCTTTGAAGGGAGTCTGCTAGTTGGTTAGATAGGGCGATGATGGTTACAGAATTTGGAGCTTTGAGCAAAATAGACTAATTACATCACGTGATGTCCGAAGATAGATCAGATTACCCTGAGACATCCAGATTTTGTTGAATTCTCAATGAGAGTTGCTGTCGACATATTTGACCCAAAAAAAGATTTGACTTGTATAAACCGAAAAAATTGGGTGGAATCGATTGAAGCAAGCCCTAAGATATTGGAACAAACGTTTTACAGACTTCATTGAAACCCTGGGCTTTAAACGTAGTAAAGCTGATCCAAATCTATTTGTGAAAGGAGAAGGACAGCATATATGCTACTGATTGTTTATTGGTATGTACGTGTGATAACATGAAAAACTTCTTCTTAAAACAAGTTTGAAAAAGGAATTCAAAATTACTACAAAACCTGCCTCGAATATTGTTGGATTGCAAATCAAAAGGGCAGCAAATGTTGAAATAAATATTCATACACTCAGAAACTATTAAAACGCTTCGGTAATCGGTATGGAAGATTTTAAACCAGTTCCAACACAAATATAGTAGAAAACAGTCTTCAATTAGGGAAGGAAAATTGCGAAGAAGAATCCAACACTATTTTTCCATATAGAGTAGCTATTGAAGCTCTTATATATTTGAGGACTTGTACCAGAGCAGACATAGCATACGTACGCTGTAAGTGTTGTGTCCAGAAAATTGGAAAACCTGACTCATATTGATTGTGCAAAGGTCAAAAGAAAACTTCGTTAACCCAAAGGTACAAGAAAAATTGGAAGTATTTAGCGACTCAGACTAGATTGGTGGGTCAGCATCAGAAGTCGATGCAAAAAGTAGGATAGGCATTTTCTATGACTGAAGCGGATGAGATAGTAGCTGCAAGTGAAGCTGAAAAGAAATAGTTTGGATGAAGCGATTTTATGAAAAAATTGATTCACCTATTAAATCAGTTCCAGAATTGAAAGTTGACAATGAAGCAGGCATTCGTTTGTATTAGAATTCCATCGTAGGACTGAACACATACACATAAGACATTTCTTTGGAAGAGAGTTCAAGAAAACTTAGTGATAGTCTAAAAATTTGCATCTGAATTTCAATCATGGATCACTTCAAGACATTCCACCCGACTCCGTTTTGTAACGTGTCGTTGCTTCTAGTAGATATTATGTAAATAATTCGCGTCTGTTTGTTTCGCTGTACTATTACTTGGTATAATTCAATTCGCGAATTCTCAAATCATCACGCAAGGTTCCAAGATTGTGTACAATTTCCCCAACTTGAGAGATTCTTAAAATTATAAATGTCAAGCGTTTGGAATAATTCAAATTTGCATTGCAGTTTTTCCACATTAACACTCGAGATGCCTTGTTGCTCGGCAATTGATTGCAGCAACACACATGAGAAAGGATTCAGAATGTTCTGTTTTCCTCAGGAAGAGACCCGCAGGAAACAGTGGATACACAATGTTCATAGAAAAAATTGGAATCCAACAAGGTCAGCTCGTCTGTGCGAGGTAATTTTGGAATGATAAAATTTTTCTATTGCACATTATTGTCTATTTATTTTTCTCAAATTCGTTACAGCTGCACTTTGAAGCTTCTCAATTTGAAAGTCACAGACTCGACGGCGTAAAAAAGATCAAACCGAATGCTGTTCCGACTTTGTTTAGTTTTTCAAATCCTCCTGAAAGAATCAATTCGTCAGCATTAAAATCCGTCTATGAGGTGAGAAGTCACATTGTTGCATGACCCATTTTGTGGAAACTATTATTTCTAGGAACAGAACCATATCGATGCAAGCGAAGAAAATACCGAGCCACTGCAACCAAATACCCCTGACCAGGTTAAAATTATACATTTACCTACCAGTTTTATAACAATTTGATCTATTTGTTTTTTTTTTTGAGAATTACTGTAGTGTAGACATTTTTGAATCACTAAATTTAAGTAATTATTTTCTTTATCTAGACTATAAGTATTCTGGACTCTGATTCAAATTTTGATCCAGATGAGGAAGAATATGAAGAACAAACAAAATTTGAAAAAACTAAAACTAACAATAATGAAACTAGCTGTGAGATGGCAGTTTTGTTGGATCATGAAGAAGATAAAAATTCTGCAGATATTCAAACTGGACTGGTTCAATGCAATCACTGTAACTCTACCTTTCTCACTTTTGATGAATGCGAAATGCATATGAAGTTGCATAAAGTTGACAGTGAGGCAACTATTGATGATAATAGGTTTTTATTTTGTCAATAATGAATAAGTATTATTACTGTGATCGTTTTTAGTTTGATTGAAGATGTTAGAAGTGAAAAACAAACTCATTCTTCTAAGAATAAAAATAAATTAGGGAGCGCTTCTAAGCATTCATACCCTTGTCCAATTGACTATTGTACTTCAATTTCGAGCACAGCAGTGGAATTAGAAAAGCATATACAAGTGCATGGGTTTACAAGAAAATTCAGTGGTAATAAGATACAAGCAATTTTTTTGATTTTTTTTTCTACTATGTATTTGCTTTCAAGCTGATCTTCCTCAAGTCTATCTAACCCAGCATGATTTGTTGCTTTGCATAAGATGCGGTCTTCAAACCATTAAGGAATTTCCCATGCGAGTTCATCGACTTCTAAATCACCACAGTAGAAATAAAAGTGTCACTTGGATTTGTCCTAAAGGTTCCGATTGTTTCCAAAGTAGCTGCAGATCGATATTTATTAAACATCTGCAGGATTTTCACCAACTAAACAAAGAGGATTATAGTAAGTGAAACTTTCTAGACAAAAATATTAACTTATAAAATCGATTCGAGCACCTCTTATATTTAACTAAAAACAAAAAGTTACTCAAAAACTACATTCCATTTTTCCAGCCCACCAAGTTTTTGGTGAACTAAAAATGATGGATTATCAGCCTTCAACAGCCACAGGAAAAGTGTTTGATTGTCATTTTTGCGAGTTCTCTACTAGATTGGAATCGGAGATATCCGAACATGTGCCAGATATTCATCCGAAACGACGATGCAATTTCTGCGAAACAATGATGCAAGGAGAGTTTCAAATATTTTGGCATACTTATACTATTCACAAGTAAGTAAGTAAGTATGTAATAATTTGCCCAAACCAAGACCACCCTTTAAAATCACATAAGGAAATATAAGTGTCGTCGGGCAGGTACACCGTACGATTAGTTTTTGACATATCGGTGTTTAAAAATAAGCATATTTTTAAAACTACCTATGTAGAAATTTTGCCTATCTATCTCCTAGACAAAAGAAATCTGTCATAAATGATTTTTCTAAAATGAGAAACTACCTCGTGTGATACCTGCTTTGAAAGGTTTTTTATTCCTCCTTAGAGGCGTGACCATTTCATTTCAGCTACAATATAAAACATGATCACTTGACTCTTCAACTGGAAAACACAAAAACAATTTTGCCTGGCAAAGTTGAATATAAGAGCATTCAGCCCCATTGAGCTGAATTCACTTGAAATCACGTTGTGCAGCTGACACCCAACAGCAAATTATAATTCAACAATTTCTCGCCGGTATTCGATAGTGCCCCACTGCTACACTTACCTTTAATAGTATAATCGTGTAACAAATGAGATCTTAACCTATTATGGCGTACGGCTTCCCTGGGGGACACCAATTACCAAAAAGAAATAATTAAACCATGATTGTTGCCCTGGATATCAGCAACTTCAATTGTTAAAAGGAAACTATTGAAAATATCTACAGCCAAATGCTTGAAGTCCAATACCAAACATGCTCAACTAGAAGTAGCTCACCAAAATTCTGATTTGAAGAGTAGTTAGGATCATAGCTTAGGTAATTATTATTTTTTTAATAGCTTATTCCTCCACAATAGTCTACTGATGATTGACGAATATAAAAATAGATAGGTAAGAAAAGAAAGGTAAATTATATTTTCGATTCAGAAATTTGTATTTTTAAAAAACATTTATTTTATTAATTAAAATACAATGGTGACAAAAGAAAATATGTGGATCAAATTGTAGCGACGTAAAAGTCGATAACAAATGAACCTGTGATTCTAATAACTATAGTCTGGCTGCTGGCTAAAAATAATAGAATGAGCTCGAGAAGCTTTGAACGCTGTATTTATAAGAAATAACTGCTGATGTAGTATTTACGTAGGCGGAATGGTGGTACTGCCAGTGCAGTACCGCTGATTGAGCAGTTTTACATTGTTATAAGTTTTGACAGAGGCGTACACTTATAATTACCATAGGAAAGGAGAATTATTAGAATAATAATAACATAGGGTCTTACAATATAACTATTATAACTCCTCCCTCCTTAAGTGGTTGCAAATTGGGATTGGCTAACAATGTTGGGCAATTCAATCTGTACCTGTTTTAGTTTTACTACATTTTCCTCTAAAATATAGAATAAGAATAATGGTTATGCAAATAGAACCTAATACGATGATTATAATATAGGTTGACACATTATTGGTTTTAAAATCTAACACTTTTAATGAGTCAGTCTTTAAATCGTTTGCTTCTTTAATCGCTGATTGAAGAGTCAGGAATGTCGATGATGGGTAGTTCTAGTTCTTTGGAAATTACGATTGGACTGGAAATGATTTCCATGTATTTCTTCTGGTCACATTGTAGTATTGCTGTTACATGTCGTTTTGGAATAACCAATATTTGATTTTTGGGTATTTCTTCAACTGTTGATTCTTCATATTGAATTTTCGTGAATGGGCATAATTGTTGTTCACCAGATACAATGTCGTGAACACAGGGCTCATCTTGTTTCGATAGTTCCATTTTTTACTAATCAGAGGGAATTTTCTTTAGAAATTCCATGGTCACTGAAATATCTTATTAATTGTGATGAAATCTCAACTGAAGTTTCGCTAATAATTGGAATAGGTTGTGCAAACTTCGGAAAGCTGTCAATAATTGTTAGGAATTTTTTATTCGAAACTACGTATACAGTGTGTATCAGCCAAATGGAATAAATTCGATAATAAATAAATGGGAAACTTTTCGAAAAAACTCTGGAACACGTCAATTTTGTTTTTTTGCTTGTGATTTTTTCACACCAATTTTTTTATACAGACATATTTCATGTACAATGTCATTCATATACCTATTGTTCGTCGATTTTAATCTGATACTCGGACGGAATGTGAGCTGGTGGCTCCCTACATTAGAACGCCAATGGTTACCTGACGTCACACCTGTTTTTCCCATATGAAACACCCCCTCGCTCCTCATACCGCAAGTATCAGTTAAAAATCGACGAACAATATCTTCAACTGTTTCGGAAATATTGACAGTTGAAAATTGACTTTTTTTGCATCTTTGACAGACTGTAAAAGCTAAACGGTTGATTTGACAGCGAAACCGTTTTCACATTCCTAACCTAGATTTTCATAAGCTATCATTTGACAGCAACTTTGGATTTAACCGGAGATTAATAATTTAAGCGAAATTTCCAATCATGGATTAAATTCAAAGTTGGTGTCCAATGATAGTTTTATGAAAAACTAAGACAAGAATGTATGATCGGTTTTGCTGTAAAATTAACCGTTCAGGTTTTACAGTCTGTCCAAGATGCAAAAAAGTCAATTTGAACTTTCAAATTTTCCGAAACAGTTGAAGATAGGTATATGATATTGTACATGAAATATGTCTAGAATTTTCAGCAGAATCCAGAAATGTCATAATATACAGGGGGTACCATTCAAAAAATTGAAGCCGATAACGGTACAGCTGTTGTCGGAACACCCTGTATAAAAAAAATGATGTGAAAAAATCTCAAGCAAAAAAACAAAATTGACGTGTTCGAGCGTTTTTTCGAAAAGTGTCCCATTTATTTATTATCGATTTTATTCCATTTGGCTGATACACACTGTATATCAATATAAAGGTGTTCAAAGGGTTTTGAACCGATTGGAGTTGGTTTGAATATTAGAGAATTATGGCACCTTCAAATAGCGACGGTCACTAATAAAAACGTTCTTATTTTGACATTATTGACACCTACGCATGCGTATTTATAAGTAAAAATAGTGGCGGCCAGTAATAAAATAAGGATCGTCCTTATTTGTGATTAGATAGTGACAAGCAGTATTTATTCCACTATTTTTTGAGACATGCGCAAATATAAATCAAATGTCAGTTGTTCAAGAATTTTTCAGATTCTAACCTCACATAATTTGTTTATATTTTTTGTTTGTGTTTTGTGGATGGATAAAACCGAAAATAGTATATTGTTGTATTAGGAGTAGAAGCTTTACTTTTTTGTGCTGAAGCAGTAGGTTTGAGAGCCGAACGTAGTGAGGCTTGCAATACTGCTGAAGCACAAAAAAGTGCTTCTACTCCGTATGCAACACGCTATTTTTTCTCCAAATGAATGGGGTAAGCTCGGGGGTAACTGAATGGTTGAGCGGCAGTAAAAGTACGAGCGGCACTAAAAGTACTTTTGCTGTCGCTGGGGTTGCCAAGCAGCATAAAATAGTATATTGTTGTATTAGGAGTAGAAGCTTTATTTTTTTGTGCTGAAGCAGTAGGTTTGCGAGCCGAACGTAGTGAGGCTTGCAATACTGCTGAAGCACAAAAAAGTGCTTCTACTCCGTATGCAAGACGCTATTTTTTCTCCAAACTAATGGGGTAAACTCGGGGGCAAGTGGATGGTTGAGCGGCAGTAAAAGTACTAGCGGCACTAAAAGTACTTTTGCTGTCGCTGGGGTTGCCAAGCAGCATAGAAATTAAACCTCTACCACCTCGACAGGTGTCAACCCGTTGGATTTACCTAGCAGCATAGAAATTAAATTTCTGACATCTTGACAGGGGTTAACAAAGTGACGGTTTTTTGACATTTGGAGAAAATAGCTATTTACCTAACAAGTGCGGAAAATGAATTTTTCCGCACGCGGCTGCCGTTCACCGAACGACGCGTAGCGGAGTTCGGTGATGCAGCCGAGTGCGGAAAAATATTTTTCCTACGAGCGTGCGCAAAGTAGTACTTTTCCGCACGCATTTCCGGGCTCAAAGTTACACTTTTCCGCACTCAGTGCGGATACAGGCCTTATCCGCACTGAGTGCCGAAAAGTAATTATAATTGTCAAGCAACAATAAGTGTACCTGTCGACTTTGACACATGATGACAAATTTTTTCTCTGTTTCTATATCAGCCAACATCTATACAAACACCAAATATAAATTAATTTGACACATTGTCAGATTTGTTCTCTATTTATATGCAAAAATCTACAAACTTTCTCATCAAATTTAAACGCTTTAAGATGAACAGCTTTGACGAGGATTTTCTGTTATTTTTTTGTTATGTAATTTTTTGATAAATGCATAGGTTCCATTCAAGTTAATTAAAAATAATTAAACAAATTATCGTTTTTTTTTTAAATTTTTGTTATTACCTACCTGATATGAAGCTCGTAGGAAAAATTTTGTTCCTAACACGTGCGCAAAGTGTCTTTTCCGCACGCAAACACGTATCCGAACTCCGCTTCGCGTCGTTCGTATAACTGTGTTTGCGTGCGGAAAAGTAACACTTTGCGCACTTGTTAGGAAAATAACTATTCCGCAAGTGTTAGGTACAATATTTTTCCTACAGGCGAAAAAATGTAAAATTTTTCTTTTTTTTTTGACATATCAGTGCGGTAAAATTTTTTCCGCACTGACAGCCGTGCGGAAAAACTTTTTCCGCACTGATATGTCAAAAAAAGAAGTTTTACCGCACCGTGCGGGAAAACTCATTTTCCGCACGCATATCAGTGCGGAAAATCAATTTTTCCGCACGGCTGTAGGAAAACATCATTTGCACCCCCTAAAATGGCAGTTTCTAACATTTCTTCTATAAAGCTACGTTTACATTCAATTTCAATTTGAATTGGAAGTGAAATTTTGAAGCTTGTCTTATGGCAAACTGTACTGTCGCCTATTTTGAAAATTATTTTCAAGGTCACGCCCAATTCCAATTCAAATTGGTGCAAGCAGCTTGACATGGGCAAGAAAAAATTCGAAATTACAAATTTGAAGGTTAGGTTCAATGTTTTCTTTTGGCCTGGGGTTCTGGGAATTCTTGA